TCAGCCTGGAGCAGGGGCACCGGGGCTGAGGAGGGGCTTCTGCAGGTGTGTCCTGAAGAGGCCTCCACCATCGGGGCCAGTGACAGGTGCCCAGTGTGACGGTTCTGCTGATGAACTCAGCAGGGCCTGGTGCTCCGAGCCTTTCCCGGAGGACAGTCCAGCGATGCTTGTACAAACGGCCTCTTTCCTCACCTGCAACGTGGGCAGACAGCACCTGCCCTGCACGCTACGGGATGGCCACGAAGGTCACGTAAAATCACACATATTTGGGGTTCGGTGACCCATGAAGCATTGCACTTAAGAAAACAGAGGTTGTCGTCAGTATGGCCCTGGCGCTGAAAAGGCTCTTAGTCACGGTGATGGCCGCAGGCAGCTGTGGCCTCCCTGAACCACTGACCAGTACCGTAGACGGGAGATGCTGGGAAGTTGACCAGCAGGGATGTGATGTCCCTTTGTTGTGCTGGGAAGACTTTGATGATCTCTAATCAAGACGCCTTCCTCCTTCCCATACCATCTTCCTATGCCCCCGCCCACCCCACCCCAGCTCCTTGTGCCTGGGCAGGGCAGCCAGATGAGGTGAGCCGTGCGTGCTGTCCTCACAGGCCGCTGGCCCCAGTACAGAGCTGCTGGCTGTCTCATTGAACAACTGCCCAGATCGGTATCTCCTGACTAAAATGCAGTGGTTTGATACAGAGGCTCTTGTCTGATCAAACCCCCACGCCTCCCCCAAGGAAAATAGTTCATGACACAAAACAAGATTCTGGGCCTTGAGAGTCGGGGGCCTGAGAGACAGAGGTGCGTGGCTTGTGGATTCCTTTGAGCTTCTAGGAGGGGCTCGACTTACACGGGGCTAAGCGACAGATGTCTCTTTGTTGTGCTTTTTTGAGCCCAGCTCCATGTTATGTCTGGAATCCTAGGAGCTGCTGGGGGTAGAATTTGGAGAAGGAGGTGGAGTTCGGATAGGCCGAGAAGGGAGGAACAGTGTCCAGGGAGCGAGGCCAGGGCACCAGCGATTCCCGTTCTGTCAGGCTCAAGGCCACCGTGGGGACAGACACCTCTGGGCAGTTCCAGAGTTGGTGGTGTGGCTAGTCCCATTTCATAGAGGAGGAGCCAGAGTGGTCCCCAAGGTAGCAAAGCGACACAGGTCAGAGTGAAAAGGCTAAAGCGTCATTTTTTATCTTGTGAGTGGCCTCTCCATGCACCCAGTCCAAGAGTTATCCTCGATGTCCGTCCCCTCCTGTCCGTCACCTCCACCACCACCACGCCTGGCCAAGCTTGTCTTCTAAACTTCCAAATTCGCCACCCACTTTCTCCATCCCCACCACCATCACCCAAGTCCGCGTCACCATCATTTCTCAATTCCCGTTCTGTCTGATGGTCTATCTCACGGTCCACGCGAGCTTGAAAAAGTCCAGGTGGAGCCCTGTCTCTCTACTTAGTCCTTTCCCGGTGAAGGTCAAGCCCACCTCAGCCCTCCGGCCCCGCCTACCTTGCCCCTGCTGCCCGTTACCTTTCCAGACCTCTTTGCTCTTTTCAGTCTTTTGAACATAACCATGTTTTGTTTCGCTCCAGAGATTTTCTCGAGGCCTCTTTTCTCTGCCAAGCCTTTCCCGGTTCCTGCACCTTTTCCTGGGCAGCTCCGATTCTTTCTTCCGGTCTTAATCCTTAAACGCCAGTTCTCCGGAAACCAGCCTGAATGTCCCTCCCCTCAACGAATATAAGTCAGGCCTCAGCACACCCTGCATTTCTTCAGGACACTGGTCATGTTTGTCATCTTCTGTCTTCTCCAGGTTCCGAGGCCCATCAGCACAAAGGCCTGATGCCCTGTGGTCACTGCTGTGTCCAGCACCAAACTCGCACAGAGCAGGTGCCCAGGTAACCTGCCGCTTGAGCCACCAGCCCATGGATTCCACCAGCCCAGTGCCCCTTGCTGGGGTCCCCCTCGGAGAGGTGTGGAGGGTGTGGGAACCCCAGTAAGGCTTCAGGGGAGGGGCAGATGATTAGCGTGTGCAGCTGTCAAGCTAATGTAGGGGTCGAACAAGATTTAAAGGTTGATTCCTCCAATTACATGTTTCTATAAAAAGTCTACTTTAGTCATTTAGGTCATAATTCAGTAATTTTAGGTTTAGAGATGATAAGAATTCTCCCTAAGTGGCATTTAAGAGCATTTCGTTTTGGATGTGGACTCAACTCTACAGAACACAGCTCACCTTCTCTGAGAGCTCTTTTTGGGGTGTCATGATCTGAATTTAGCTTCACGTAGGGTGGTATGATCATGCTTGTCCTAAATTTCAATAAGTGTGCTTTTTACTTTTTTATTTCAGAAAATCTCCAGCATGCACAGAGGCCCCCCGCGTACTCATCACCCACTTCAAAAATGACCAACTCAGGGCCAATTTTGTTTTATATATACCTCGTCCCCACCCCCATTATTTTGAAGCAAAACCCAGACACTACGGGGATTTCATGTTAATAGTAAATGTGTTTTTAATTACTATTTCCAGAATTACACATGTGCTTGCAATGTTGGTCATTTAAAGTCTCCCAAAAGCTTTGTGAAAGCCACAAAGTCACAGTTAATAAGAAGCCTGGGGAATGAAGAGTTCTGATTGATCAGATTGTCTGTTTCACCGAATCATTAGCTAGAAAACCCTTGTTATTTGAAGAGGGGAAAAGCTGTCTAAGATAAGCAGCTCCTTTCCTGCCTTAATGGGTGTGATGCTGCAAACAGCCTAATCTCTCCATCTCAGTCTGACTGATTGTCGCTCCTGGGGGAAGTGACCCAACAGGGCTGGTTGGTTCCATTACAGATTCGCGGTGAGGGTGCAGCCTGAGCGAGCAGGAGTCGAGGGCCTTCTCGCCTGCCCCCCTCACCTGCCCAGAAGCCCCGATTCCAGCCCGCGGTGTCTCCGTGTCCCAGCGCACTCGTCCCTGTCACTGAACGGCCTCCCCTGGGAGGCACACCTGCCACGAGTCTGCCCAGGTCTCCCCTGTCTCTCCGTCTTTGACCACGAAGCACATGCTGAGGGCCTAAGTTTGCACCTGGCTCAGGGAACAGACACTGACTGTATTGGAGACACGGCCAACTCTGTGAGTGATGGGGTGAGCTCCTGCAGGATCTGCAGGAACAGGTCCTGAGGTAGGGGGGGGTCCAGAATGTCCCCGTGGTAGGTGGCACCTGAGCCAGGAACCAGCGGGACAGGCAGAGTGAATCCAGGCAAAGCGAGGCAAAACCCACAGGGAGAGAGCACGCGGGTTCGCCCATCTGACACCTCCGCCGTGCAGACCGGCCCCTCGCGCCCTGCCGGGGCTTTTTCTTATCTCTTATCTCTCGTCTCTTGAAGTTTTCTCCTTTTCCAATTGACTCATTTGTCTACACTCACACGTTTCTCTTTCTCAAGTCTCTGCTTCTAACCAAGCTTGCTTTAACTTTCGATCTCCCCTGCCAAAACCTCGTTCATCCCCAAGTATTGTGCCTTTCGATACACGGCATCGCTGTCCACCCAGTTGCTGAAACCGTAAGTCCAGACATCACCCTCGCTTTGTCCCTTCCTTCATTTCCTGCCTTCAGTCTATCAGTTAAAACTTTCAGTGTTACCTCCAAAATAATCACAAATCCAAGACCCCCCGCCCCTGCAAACCATCCCTGCCCTCAGTGATCCGGCCACCATCGCCTCACCTGGGCGACTGTCATGTTCTCCATGTTCCACTTCTTGCTGCTCTGCCGTCATCTCCACAGAGCTGGAATCAGCTCTTTACAGACACGTATGACACAGCGTATCCTTCCCCCGCTTGAACTTCCAGTGGCTTCCTGTTGCATCTGAACTAAAGTCCAAACTCCTCCCCCCATCTCCTGACTGTCCCGGGCCTGGAAATATCCCTCTACGAGGGGTGGATAGTGGCGCCACCTCCCCCGCCGGAAGGTAGCAAGGATTAAATAAGCACCTCTCACGTTGGCTACTTCTGCCATCCTTCATCTCTCTTCCCGCCTCCTTCCCATTTCCAACAAATTGTATCTTCTGCATTCAGACTTTATGGACGCTGGCGCCCAAACCACCTTCCTTTGTAATACTCTGGCGGCATTCCGAGTCTCCTGTCCCCACAGCATCCTGCCCGCTCTCCTTTTCATCCGTCAAATCCTGCGTTGTGAATTCTGTCTCCAGAATGTCGCCGACGGAATGTCCCAGCCCGTGCCGTGGACACAGCCGGGACAGGTCAGAGTTGAATTCCGTCCTAACAGAACTCCCGTAGCTCCGGCCTAAAAAGGTCAGGAAATAACACCATCCCTTTTTCAAAAACCTGCCCTCCTCCCAGCATTTTGGAACCTGCCGCTCCCCTGGGACACCATCCGACGGAATGTCCCAGCCCGTGCCGTGGACACAGTCGGGACAGGTCAGAGCCTCCTCCCAGCACTTTGGAACCTGCCGCTCCCCTGGGACACCGTCCCCAGCCCTCAGCAGGGCGTTCGGCACAGCTCCCACCTCATCTCCTCCCCTGTCCCCCGCTGCGTGGCCCACGTCCCAGGCACAGCCCTCAGCAGGGCGTTCGGCACAGCTCCCACCGCATCTCCCCTGTCCCCCGCTGCGTGGCCCACGTCCCAGGCAAAATGGACGTCCTGCGGTCATTCAGCCATGCCCTGTGCTGCTTCCTGCTGCACCTTTGCCAACGTCCCCTCCCGCTGGACGGCCTCGTGCTTCCCCCTCTCCCTGGCCTGCCCAGGCCAGCCCACTTTGGACTTGGAACTACCACCAATGCTCCTTTTCTGTCATGTCACATGCCACCTTCCGGCAGGGAGGGGGTAATTGTCAATACTGCGTTCACACCATCATCCCTTTATAAGGACAGAGACCATATCTCATTTTATCAGTCATCTACCGTAGCACAAAGCTTTTGTGTC